CATGGGAGCGGCTTACGCATATCTATCCTGAGAGAGTACTACCTCATCAAGCAGCAGAAGTAGATAGACCCATGCCGGAGGGGCCTGATGATGGGATTGCTACAGAGGTACCCGCTGCTGCGGAGGAGATGCTTGACTAACATGACCCATTACCTAGGGGTCCATTGGGGTGCAGGTGTGTAATGATGAATTAAATTAATTTTTTTTAATTCATGATCAAAATTATTTATTGGATGAGCTGCAGGTGGCGTGTGCGGATGACTTCGTATGTACACAGCCCCAGACACGTTCTCAGACATTATAGGGATCAACTAGACCAGATGCGCGATGAGCAGGTTCAATTTAAACAACAACGTAAACTATATTAAAAAGTCTAACACATTTTACACTTACATGTAACTTGAGTATTTGTTTTGTTGTAGATGGTTTGGATGCCATATACTTCTGAGGTCATAGCCGCCTTACTGACATATTGCACTCTTGGGAGCGACTTTTGGATGACACGTGCACCACTTATATGCTTTGCATTAGTAGAGTGGCATTTCTTTGACCGTGTCATGCGCTAATTCAGATTTACACAGGGTATCCCTCAGTCATGCGACACTGGGTCTGCTCTTCATGCTACTGATCGACGCGGTAGAGGTGGTTATGACTGGAGTATTGTACATCAATCGTCTGTTGATGTGTGGACCCACCGGCGAGAGCATGTTAGTGTAGGAGAGACACCTATAGTAGAGACCGATATAAGTTTTTGTGCGTATATGGTATGGTACAGTCGTATCACTCGACGGTTGATTGGACCTCCAGTAGATTCTCCACATATTGGATTCCAGCCGATGGGTAGCATAGTCGGCATTTTGGTGAGATAATTGCTAAGTGCATTTGTCATTATAATCATTATTTACAAATACATAAATTATATTTATGCTAATGTATGTGCATTTTACATTTATAGGAGCATACACTTGTTCAGATTCACTAGGTTGCAGAAGCTGCCCTTGCGGATGGTACAGACGCAGCACATAGACAGGCTTTGCAAACGGCCCGAGCTCTTACCTCTACTAGCCTCGAGGCGGTTCGAGAGGACCATCGACCACATACCACACACAGCACCACCCGATGTACCTACCAGGGCTCATGGTATAGTTATACCGCGACAGAGACGTCCACGCCACCGATCGGATACTCGGGTAGATGCCAGTGTTGACACAGTATCGAAGACGAGTGGAGCAGATCCTACTTCAGCACCTACTGGGCCTCAGTAGTTACCATCCATAGTATGTCCAGAGACATCATTCACATCAAGTCCCTACCATATATCAGCACATACTACACCTTATCCACCACCATTGACCGAGACCTCTAGAGTTTCTAAGTACCACACATCTCATGTTTCCCCCATGGCAGGACCAGATACATATTCAACAGATGTTGTAGGAGTCACAACACCCAGCCTGCGTTTCTGTCATGATGCATTAATGTCATCACCACCCACAAATGTTCTGATTTCACAGCCATCACATGAGGTGACGCCCGCGGTTGTGCATAGGATACATCACCGAGCTATGACTCCACTAGTCCATCTAATTTCATTAGTTCAAGGTCGAGGTCGAGGTGGCAGATTTGTAGGTGTTCGAGGCCGCGGTGGTAGATGACGAGGTGGTCGAGTCAGAGGAGGGGGCAGAGGCAGAGGTAGAGGCAGAGATATTATTCCAGTCGAAGATCCGATGTCATAGGTATGCGATGGCGAGCCATCACAATTACAAGATAGGCGTTCCAAACGACTCAGGAAGAAGCCGTCTTGTGGGACTTAGTGTTGTCATGTTTTTATCATTTGTTTACATTTATTGTAACATGTATATTATAGAGTAGTTCGTATGTATTGTTATTGATTATGTGGTGTAGTTTTTGTGATTTGGTGGTGGTAGTTGTGGTTGGGTGTTGATATGGTTGTGTTTTTGGGATTGTTGTTTTGATATTGTACATACAGGGCAAAAATTTTTTGGTATGACAAAGTTTTAAGGGAAACTTTGCCAAATTTTTTTAAAATTCAATATGTTTAATGTAAGTATTTAAAATACATACTTTAATCCAATATGTTTATGTGTTTGCTATATATTGTATGCATTGTTGTGTTTACCGTTATTCTCCACTTCAATGAGTAAGAAAAAATAAGACAACAAATGGTACATTATATTTTAGCACTGAATAATGACGATACAGATAATGATAAACTAATGATAATGCATTACGGCAATGCATACTGACAATGCAGATAAACTACAACAACAAAGTAGTACAAAAATATAAGCATGATTATCACAAACGACACACAGTAATAAAACCCATAGCGGATACAACAACATAAGCGTAAATGTTTAAAGATCCATACATCTTCATCATGAGAAACTTTCTTAGTCTGACATTTCAACGTTAGAAACACTTCCTCCTTCCCTAGACAACTGTAGGCACAAACGTGCTTCCTCAACCAACCCTTTTGCAGCACGTTCGCCTGCAATTCGGCAGAGGTTGTAACGAGTTTGCTGTATTGTCATAAGGTTGTTTTCAGCACGAATACGCCACAATGCACCCTCCAACTCTTGTGGTGTTTCAATAGACATGTTAATGGCGATTTGTCGTGGCCTGCGTATGTTACAAATGCATAAATCTTCAGTCAAACCTTCTCTCTCATTCAAATGATATTGCCATTCCTTCTCATCCTATTCACAAACCTTTATGAGAAACGTAAACTAGAATTTAGAGGATAGAAGAATTCATCCTCTAACGCCCAATGATATCCCATAGTTTCAAAAACTGAGCATGGACTATAACTCATTTCTGCAGTTGATAAGTATGGTTAGAGAAGCAACACACAATCAATTTATAGTGATATTTTGGGGGTAGTCATACTAACTGTTTAGCCAGCTGTGACTATAATTTTTAAAAATATGATGATTTGACTGCTCGTGCAACACTTCTGATTTTTCTCGAAACTGCACGCAACACATGACTATCAATGCTAAGTTGTCAATGGTGATGTAAAAAAAGTAGGTGAGTACATAGTTGTCACTGTTATGTAAATACCATCTTTTTAATTAAAACACTGTATCATTGTGTAGTCGCTATCCTTTTTCACTACTCATTTTATCATTGTCTAGTCAGTATCATTATTCACTCGTTACTTTATCACTGTCTAGTCACTGTCATTGTTCACACGTCACTGTATTACAGACTAGTCAGTATCTTTGTTCACTCGTCACTGTATCACTCTATACTCACTACCATTGTTCACTTGTCACTATATCTTCACTGCAATATTTTAGTACTAAGTTCAATGAATGTAATTTTAAATTAACTTATCTTCTTGTTTAAATACAGCTACATAAATTGCAGTGAAAATCATACATACACTATAATGTCAACAACGTCACTAAATGGGTCTTCTAGTCAACCTAACGATAACTCATTCTCAACCAACTATTACCATCATGAAACATTTTCTTCATTCAGTTCACCAAAACCCGATAATTAAACAGATCCCACTAGAGTAACATGGTATGAAAAATTGCGTTCCTTTAACAATGAGCTAATCAACATTCATAACCCTTTCACCGAAGTCGGCTATGTGATGATTGGACCTGCAACCTTTGTTTCGCCTCTAGAGTTTTATTATCACCTACCAGGACTAAGTTGGTTGAAATCTTATTTCAAGCGCTGTGAGTTTGAAGTATATTGTCGTTGGCATTAGTACGAGTGCCATAGGCACATTCAGCTGATATGTATGTGGAATGGTGCATGGATAACTACGATGAAATCATTGCAACAATGGCTCTTGAGAATGATCAGATGGAATGACAGCTAAATCGATTCCACCTTATTACAAAGGCAAAGATTGAACATTCTAACCATGTATATCCTATTAATGCAATATTGTCCGATCCATCATTGACATCTGACAATGAATTTTCTGATTTTGAAGAATCGAGTGATGATGATTATACTGCAAAATTTCTCCTTACTACTCTTTGCTTATATGGCACTCCCCTATGTTGTTTGAAATATGATCTTCATTAGAAATATTATAACTACCATTACTATATTACGTCGTTTAAAATCTAATATTATGTTTTTATTCATTATGAATGGTTTTTTGTAATGTTTTTATCAGACAAGAAAATAAAATCTCTTTTCCCCTTATTTAGGGTTTCTTGCTTGGGATTAAGTGGTTATATTTGCTAGAATTATTTTTAGACATTCATAGTTTGAGCGGATAAGGTTTTTAATTGTTATGATATAATGTTTGCTTGGATGGGTAGTATTTTTGATAATTTAAACTTGTGAAAATTATTTTTGATTATTTATTGTGTAATAGGGGTGAGAATGATAAGTGAATGTCATAATTTAATTTTTATTTTTTTTGGTACATCAGAAAATATATATAAAATGAAAACATTAGATAAAGTTAGTTTTATTAATTTTCCAATATGCTTAAAATAAAGTTAGTTTTATTATTTAGTCCAATATGCTAAATATTTTAATAATCATCACATGGAAATCGGTGTTGAGAAAAAATGCTTTCTCATGAAAGCAAAATTGACAAATCCGCTTTCATAAATGACAAAGCCACTTTCTAATGCAAGCATAATTGACAAATCCACTTTCATTAAAAAGTGGAATCACTAAGACCGCTTTCTCATGAAAAGCAGATTTGTCACGTACGCTTTCGTTGGATGTATAAGCGGGTCTGATACGCATAGAAAACGAATTTGTTAATCCCGCTTTCTCAATGAAGTCGGACTCTTTAAATCCGTTTTTTCAATAAAGTCGAATTTATTAATTTCGCCTTTTAAAACAGCCATAGATTGACAAATAAATTAAAAACAGCTTATTTTGTAATTAAGTTTAAAAACCACTGCATTTTGGTAATTGATCCACAATTTGATTGCTTTATGAATTGAACTTCCGATTCCTCAGAAAGGTGTGCCCAAACATCTTTCCACAGTTCTATCTCCATTCTCCCTCTCTCTCTCTCTCTCACACACACACACACACACAAGGGGTAAAGCATATTCCACCATGAAAACCAAGATCGGGACGAAGACCAGTAAACCCCTTATCCAAACCACAAATTTCAACCAATCCATATCACTATACACCTTTGTCACCCTCCTCTCTTGTTTTTATGCTTCATTTGCTTCATCTTCTTCACACCCAAAACCACCCCCAATTCCAATTTTGCCCCTCCCAACCTCACAACAGCTCTCATGGCAGTTCTCAGAGATGGCCATGTTCATACATTTTGGACCCAATACCTTCACGGACTCTGAATGGGGCACCGGCCGCGCTGATCCCTCGGTGTTCAATCCCACAGCTCTCAATGCCAGCCAATGGGTCAGTGTGGCCAAAGAAAATGGGTTTTCCCGCATAATTCTTACTGCCAAACACCACGATGGGTTTTGCCTTTGGCCTTCTGAATATACTGACTATTCTGTGAAGTCTAGTCCTTGGAAGAATGGCAATGGTGATGTTGTATTTGAATTGGCTGAGGCTGCTAGGAATGCTGGTGTCCAATTGGGGTTATATCTTTCTCCCTGGGACCGGCATGAGCCTATCTATGGGAGAACTCTTGAGTACAATGAGTATTATATGGGGCAAATGACTGAGTTGCTCACAAGGTAAATTTAATAGATTTTATTTGGTTATATGTGGGTTTTATTATGAAATGGATTCATTTGATCTTTAACAGCTGTTGGTATTGGAGGGGTTCCGCTGGATTTATACATGGTTTTGTGTATTTTTTCAATGTAACAGATAATCTGTCAAGTGGATTTTATGATTCTTCTAGCAATTACAGATGTTTTGTTTGTTAGTTGAAGTTTGCTGCTTTGATTAAAATGTGTTCTTCAAGCTGATTAAATGTGGCTTTGGAGAATTCATGTTTGATAAAGTGTCTTAGGTTGTGCCTGTGGTTTAGATGGTAACTGACATGCCCAATTGTTCCTTATGCATACTTTTACCAGGCAAATACAAGATCATTTGTAGGACCATTGCAGAAAATGTTAATCAATCTCACTGGAGGGAAGGTTTTATTAAATTGTCGAGTGATCTCATACAATTAGTTCTAGCTATGTACCCTTTAATCTAAATTCAAATAATGCACTTGGGCATTACATATATAAAACACTCTCAAACTTATAGTTGCCATCGGACGTCTGAATGAACCTTAGCAACTCTCTTCTTGAATAGTTAATAAGAGAACTTTGAAGAACTTGGTTTTTCGGTTACATTTACGGTTACTAATTATCTTGAAATTGGAGCAGGTATGGCGAAGTAAAAGAGGTATGGTTGGATGGTGCAAAAGGAGAGGGAGAGAAGGATATGGAATATTACTTTGATGGTTGGTTCAGTCTCATTCATCAGCTCCAGCCGGGGGCTGTCATTTTCTCTGATGCTGGTCCAGACACAAGGTGGGTCGGAGATGAGAATGGTGTGGCTGGGACTACTTGCTGGTCCCGTTTCAATTGCAGTGATGCAAAGATAGGCGACACTGATCCTAAGTGAGTCGTCTTCTTTTTTCGAACTTCAATACAAATTTTTTTTTCCCTTCGGAATGAAACCATGTGGCCTCTAGCATTGTGTGCAAGGTCATAGATGCAGGAGTCATTTACAGTAAATTTGTGATCAAATGTTTACAACTTACTCTGCAGCAGTTCATCTTTCCATCCTGACCTCTAAGGATGCAATGTGGAATGAAATTAGGACTGTGATGATAAATTTCAGAAGGGATTCCGGAAAACACGTCCACAGTGTGGTCTCTTCAATTGCCTTTAGAGCTCATAGATTTGCCCAATTATCGATTGGTTTTGGGAATGCATAAAGGACGGCTCTTCCTGTTACATATATTCACTTGATCTTCTTTTGAATATTGAAGACCTGCTTCTTATGCTAGATGACCTTGAAGCTTATCCCTCATGTCATTCCAAAGCATGAATATTGATGGCAGGATGCTTTGTTGTTGACTTTAATGGGCAGAATCCATGTGAAATTTAAGATTTGGTTTTTGTTCAACATTCTTTTTGGTCCACAACAGAGCAGTTTTTGATACCTTAATTGGTAATTGTGATTTACAACTCATAAAAAACTTTGGCTTTTATCAACGAACTATTTGGCTAGGTGATCTAAGCCGATCTGCCATTACGATCAATTGGTTGGTCTTAACATCAGCACGAACTTTTCCTTGAAGCACACAATTGAGAATGTCATCTCTATCACGTAGTCATACAAATTAGTAGATTAGCTAGCTTTGGTTGATTATCACATTCATTTATCTGTCTTACTAACAGATTTTTATGGGGTTTCCTCACATACTGGATGATCCCAAGTCTTTGCAAGCACACTATCGCCACAACTGGTTCCCCTAAACAGAGAGAGAGGACAAGAGAATATTGGGAATATTTTCATTCGTAGAACATTACTAAGCATCCTGATTCTTGTCAATCTTTTCCAGTTCTAAACAGATTGTAGAGCTTCATTTTTTGTTGTGGTTTATATATCTGACAGGTATTCACAAGAAGGTGACCCTTACGGACATGACTGGGTACCTGCTGAGTGTGATGTTTCCATCAGACCTGGTTGGTTTTGGCATGTCTCCGAAGTCCCAAAGTCTGCAATGACTCTTCTTGACTTATACTACAAATCAGTTGGCAGAAATTGTCTCTTGTTACTCAATGTACCCCCCAACTCTTCAGGTCTCATATCAGACGAAGATATACAAGTCCTCAGAGAATTCTCTGAGCTCAGGAGGTCCATATTCTCCTACAACCTAGCCAAAAATGCTCTTCTTTCTGCCAGCAGTACACGAGGAGATCTTGAAGATTCTAGGTTTGGCTCCCACCATGTCCTTGAAGAAGGTATTTATACGTATTGGGCTCCCAATGGGAATCAGTCAGATTGGGTATTATACTTAAACTTTCAGGAACCTGTGAGATTCAATGTTTTGCAAATTCAAGAGCCAATTCAGATGGGGCAGCGGGTTATTGAATTTCATCTTGATATTCTGAATAAGAATGGCAACTGGAAGAAAGTGATTAATGGAACAACAGTAGGGTATCGGAGGCTTTTATCATTCCCCAAAGTAGAATCCAATCGCCTAAGGTTAGTCATTGATAGATCACGAGCAGACCCGCTGATCTCTTACTTGGGCATTTATATGGATCCATTCTCCATTCTGAGCAACATTTATAATACTAGCTCTAGATCATTCTTCAACGGCAGTCAAGTGCTTGAAAAAACTACATACAAACATTCTCAAATTGCTTCGATTTAGTTGTTCAATATAATGTTTTGTAAGAAACATGATCCTAAGGCTTCCAGGGGAGTGTGAGCATGTTGTCTGTTTGTAAATATCTCTTACCATTATTCTTCTTGGAATACAATTGTTCGATACCGGTACTTTCTTGAAGAAATTTGCAGTTGACATTTGCAAATATTCAGATCTTGTTGGCTTAATGAACATGCTAATGAAGTATATCTTTTGCTGCTGGAGACAAAAACCAGAACAGGTTTAAGCTTTTGGCTAATTTGATTGGATTTTTTTGTTCATACCAGCAAAGAGTAGAAGTGTATAAACAAAGCACCCGTACATATGTATTATTCGATTTCATTTCCTTTCGTCTCAATTTCCTCATGTTGGATTGCTTTAGTTAACAATTTCATATTGTTTCTTATATAATATGACCCGAATTCTACTGAAATGCAATGTTCTTTGATCAGCAATGTTCTCTATTTTGCAGTATCGATTGATCATGACCTTGATAGTGCGCTAATTATAAATGTGATGTTTGAAATAAATCAATTTTTATATCACATTGCACTAAAATAGAAAAAGAAGCAATGGCAACTTAGTCCGCCGATATCTATCAATGATTGACCATAAACACGGTAGAATTTGGCTAAACATGATTTACATATAATCTCGTTGTGACACATGATTACAAATATGAATTAAATAAATTATAACACCATATACATTTAAAAATACGAAACATATCTGATTATCTCTACCTTTAAAAACAAAAATGCCGGCACTACAACATGAAATGTGGGGCCTCTCCGGCGGTGGAAATTAGGAGGAGACTGTTACGAATGACAAGAAAAAGAAAGGAAGATGATGACAGAAATTGCATGGAGGATGTGATTTATTGTGAGGGGCATTTTAAAGTTTTAAAAAACACTATATATCCCTTTTAAATTTTTAATAGTCTTATGAATCTCATTACATTTTTAAATTTTTGTATATACTTTTAACGTACTTCACCTTTTGTATTAAAAAGTTTGATGGCCTAACAATTCTTCGTGCTTGAATGAGTTCGATGATTAAAAGATAAAAAAGAATGAAGTTGATACAAGATCGGGGATAAAGTTTGTCAAAATATGACGTGACATGATTAATCAGTACGAATTGATACGAAATTAAGTGGATTTATATAAAGTCTAAATGGGTGAGGGAGGTAAAAGGATGGACAGCTAAACGCATTTAATAAAAGGGTTATATTCGAGTGAGATATGTCGATCCGTTTATCATCTATTTAATAAAATTAATTATTATTCAAAGTTAGATCAATTAAAAAAAGTTTAATAATTATTATTTTTATTATAATAATAAAAAAATTATTAAACGAGTGAAATAAGTTGTGTTGGGTAACTCGTTTAATAAACAAATTGGATTCAATTTTTAAATTTTTATTCGTTTAATTAAATGAATTGTGTTTGAATTGAATTATTTTTCGTACGAATCCGATTAGACCCAACACAAATCCGTTTAACGCAACACAGGTAACACCTAGGATTAAGTATAAATTTTTGAATTTTATGATCTAAACTTATTTTTATGGTAATATAAAATTATAATTAATAATAATAAAACTCTATTAAATAGCATTTAAAATTTTGTCCCATGGCCATTTAAATTTTTATGCTCCATCGAAACCTCCATTTTTTGTATTTGTGCCGAAGGAGATACTCCAAATAGCTTCGTATTTCTTTCATTTCCATTCGTAACATTCATTCTTCTATCCCCATCTCTCTTTCTCTCTCTCTCTCTAGAAACTCTTCACCATGTTTCCAGAGACCCAATTTTCAGCTTCATTTTCTTCTTCTTCTTCTCACCCAAAACCACCACCGATTCCAATTCTACCCATCCCAACCTCACAACAGCTCTCATGGCAGTTCTCAGAGATGGCCATGTTCATACACTTTGGACCCAATACCTTCACGGACTCTGAATGGGGCACCGGCCGTGCTGATTCCTCGGTGTTCAATCCCACGGCTCTCAATGCCAGCCAATGGGTCAGAGTGGCCAAAGAAAATGGGTTTTCCCGCATAATTCTTACTGCCAAACACCATGATGGGTTTTGCCTTTGGCCTTCTGAATATACTGATTATTCTGTGAAATCTAGTCCTTGGAAGAATGGCAACGGTGATGTTGTATTTGAATTGGCTGAGGCTGCTAGGAATGCTGGTGTCCAATTGGGGCTCTATCTTTCTCCTTGGGACCGCCATGAGCCTACCTATGGGAAGACTCTTGAGTACAATGAGTATTACATGGGGCAAATGACTGAGTTGCTCACAAGGTAAATTCAGTGGATGTTTTCTAGTTTTTTGTTGATTTTTTAAGTTCCATTTCTAAGCAACTCTATATTTGATTGTGTTATTGGAAGTTTTGTGATGGGCTTTTTTTCATTGTTTTTGTGTATTTTTCAATATGGCTGAAAATTTATCAGGTGGAGTTTTATGATTTTTTGAGCACATACAGTTGTTCTATTTGTCTGTTGAAATTTGTGGCTTAATAGTGATAGATCATACTGATTAATTGTGGCTTTGGAGAATACATGTTTTATAGAAGTGGTTGAGGGTATGCCTGGAGGTTACATGGTGTACCAATAGCCCAATTTTCCTAATGCCTAATCTTGTAAGTAAGGAAAGGATTATTTGGAGGGCCATTGCAGAAAATGCTTGTCAACCTAACTAATGAGGGATTGAATTTCATGAAAATTTAGACTGAACTTGTACCATTAACACTGGCCATAGTCCCTTTTTCCAGCACTATTCACCTGCAGATAATGAGCCTGCTCAATGGCATGATAACTGAAACACAATCAAACCTTGGAATTTCCATGTGATGTCCGAATGAGCCTTCTCTTTTCTTTTCTCGTGTACCTGATTAGAGAATTCTGGAAAAAAAAAAAAACTTGGTTTTTGAGTTAAAATAGTTAAATGTCAGAAAATTAAGGGTACTAATTGTTTTTAGATTGGGGCAGATATGGCAACATAAAAGAGGTATGGTTGGATGGTGCAAAAGGAGAGGGAGAGAAGGATATGGAGTATTTGTTTGATAATTGGTTTAGCCTCATTCATCAGCTCCAGCCTGAGGCAGTCATTTTCTCTGATGCTGGTCCAGACATCAGGTGGGTTGGAAATGAGAATGGTGTGGCTGGGACTACTTGCTGGTCCTGTTTCAATCGCAGTGCTGCTAAGATTGGTGACACTGATACCAAGTGAGTTCTCTGTTTCGAACTTCAATGCTAAAAGTAATTTTTCTTTCTGTAGATTGATACCCTTTGATCCTCTAGCATTTCATAGCATCTTCTGTTCTTGTTGATCTTGTCCAGTGCAAAATGGAGCATCAGAGCCACATTTAATTGTGTTTTATATATCTAACAGATATTCACATGTTGGAGACCCTTATGGACATGACTGGGTACCTGCTGAGTGTGATGTTTCCATCAGACCTGGTTGGTTTTGGCATGCCTCCCAAGTTCCCAAGTCTGCAATGACTCTTCTTGACTTATACTACAAATCAGTTGGTCGAAACGGTCTCTTGCTACTCAATGTACCCCCCAACTCTTCTGGTCTCATATCAGATGAGGATATACAAGTCCTTAGAGAGTTTTCTGAGCTTCGGAACTCCATATTCTCCCATAACCTAGCCAAGAATGCTCTTCCTTCTGCCAGCAGTACACGAGGAGGCCTTTGTGATTCTCAGTTTGGCTCCCACCGTGTCCTTGAAGAAGGTATTCATGCCTATTGGGCTCCCAATGGGAATCAATCAGATTGGGCACTATACTTGAACTTTCAGGAACCAGTAACTTTCAATGTTTTGCAAGTTCAAGAGCCAATTCACATGGGACAGCGAGTTATGGAATTTCATCTAGATGTTATGAATGAGAAGGGGGATTGGAAGAAAGTGATAAATGGCACGACAGTGGGATATCAGAGGCTGTTACTATTCCCCAATGTACAATCCAGTCGCATAAGGTTAGTCATTGACAAATCCCGAGCAGACCCACTGATTTCTTACTTGGGAATTTATATCGATCCATATTCTAATTTGGGCAACATCTATGGTACAAGCTCTAAATCATACTTCAAAAGCAGCCAAGTTCTTCGATAAATCAAAAACAACCAATCTGAAATTCTTTGATTTGGTTACTAGATAGAGCTTTATTTGAGAAACCGCCATCCTTTGGTTTCCAATGCAGTGTGACTGTTTTGTGTGTATGTAAATATTCCTTAACACTAATTTTCTTGTAATATAAATATTTGATACATTTAGTTTGTTCGTGTCTTCTGTAATAATAGTTGAAGAATTTTATAGATCGCGATTGCAACTATTTGGATCTTATTGGCTTATGCACCTGCTAAACATGTACATCTTGTGCTGCTTCATACAAGAACTAGATTTCATTTTTCTTTTTGAGATTACAACTTAATTTTTTCCATTTTAGGAAAGAATTTGAAAAATTAATAATAAATCATAGTAGAATCTGAATTCAACAGTGTCATTTTTTTTTTGAATTTTAGACTATATGTGCTTTTATTTTAATTAGTTAGGTTGGAATTTTCAATTTTTTTAAAAAATTTTGGGCAATTTTTAATATTTTGATAATTTTTGAATAATTGAGTATAATGTAGATAGGCAGCTGAAATGGTCTAGACTCGTAATGGATTTAGAAATGTGGAATTTGAATGTTACAACAAAATAAGGTTGTTTGAGATCAATGTTTACCCTTATTTATGTTTTAATTTAAATTTTAATTCTACTGAAATATAACTTTGACCGAAATGAATTAGAACGAAGCCTATTCCTATGATCCCCCTAAAAACAGGTGAGCTCTCCCCTTGTCTACTACCACAGGACATAGAAGAGAGTCTATGCAGTAGAATGCTTTTGCTTCCTTTTAGTTCACTAGTGCCCTGATCTTGTGCCACACTATTAACTTCAACGCCTTTGAACCCAAACGTTTTCTTGGTTGTGACATACTCACAGGTTGATATTATCGACATGAAGAAACAGTGTCATTGGTTTTGTCCAGGGAAGGGTAATAAACCTGCTATCACTCTGTAAATACTCCATGAAAACATATTTAGCAGCAAAAACATGGTAGTGTTCAATGTTTATAAGTTGACTTGCCTAACTTTGAGGAACATCCCACTCATTATGAAGAAGCATTCACAATATTGCAACACATAATCACTGGTGGTAAAGCAAGGAAATAGAAGTGGATGTTTTGTGTGTGTGTATGCATTGTCTAATCGCCAAAACTTTCTTCTCTACTTCGGAAGCTTCTCCTTGTGCAACTCTCAGTGAATTACCAGAACCAACACAATGCATATTGTCCAAGCTACCACTGTCCACGGTAGCTAGCACAATGGCAGTCAAATAATATGATTTTCCAGGAAATAGTGGTTGTCTTGATAAATGGGATGTTAGTCCGATGAAAGAGGCAAGAAATTCATCTTCAAAGCTGCCAGCAAAAACAGACCAGAGGTAAATCATTCGAGAAACTGGCAAAGATAGAATGCAACATCAGGTACTCATCAAACAGAGGAAGAACCACATAAAATAGCTGGAGGAATCCTAACAGGGATGTCTGTAGGCTTTCAGTACCTGGAGATAATATTATATGCAGAGAACATAGCTAAACAGCATGTGTGTTCTACTCCTGCTCCATCACCATGCTGGTTTAAGGAATATAAAGTCTTCGGAAGTTCATAACTCTCAGTATTGTTGTATTTGCAGCATATTAAGATAAGCTAATTGTTTTGAAAAAGAAAAATTCTTCGAACTCAAACACAGAAGAAGTCTCATAAACATCACTAAAATATCCAATAAATGAGACAAAGCTCATAAGTTGGACGTAGACCATCAGAGAAGTAAGCAATATGAACAACTGAAGCAACTGCAGTAAGAAAAGTGACATATTTCATCCTCAACCTGATTAACATCTCGCCAAACAAAATGAAGGATAACAGTCTTTCTTAGGTTTATAAATTTCGAAGATCGGTGGTGCAATAGCAAACTAAATCTGCATCCCAACCACCATAATTATTGCAGTGGATTTCGTTTAACAAAGCAACGAATAGGTTCTCCAACTCCCTTGCGAAAATCCAAAGCCATTTATCCAAGAAACCATAATTTCCAAGAGCATTTACATTATGCACTGAAAGCTTAAGCTAGTAGGGATGGACAAAACAATGAGCACGCATTTTGCAGCCCCATTCCACCAATTTATATTATACTCTGTTCTATGTCGATTGCAGTCCATTATATCTGCCCGTCCGTGAAACATGCAAGAGGTCACGTGGAAACTTGTAACTAACATGTTCATATATTTAAGTTATCAATATAAAAAACCATACCATAAATCATAAATACAAACCTCAAATGTTTTAAGTTATCTTGATATCTCGAAGCAGCCGAGCAGCCATAGAACCATATCTTCTTGCTTCCCATTCGCTAAGCTTCCCATTCTGGAGACTTGTAACCAGCATACTATCTTCTGTGACTTTGTCGCAACCAACATCATCCACTTCATCTACCCAACTACCCTTATCAACATCTTTGTCCTTCCCATGCTTACTTTTTCTAACCTCTTCAACTTGCTGATCACTACCTTGGGCCACGTGATCTGTGTTTCCATCCGAATGCTTTAAGCTCATCATGAAGAGTTGGATACTTGGATGCTGATACTTACTGTCCATCTGCAAGAAATATAGCAGTCCACACCAGTTCAGAAAGATGATGAATGTTTTTTTTATTAGCATAAAATTTTAAGCTTCATTTTGTTCTCATACTCAAATTTGAAGAATGAGCTCTTAAACATAAGATCGGGGAAAAAAAGCTCCATAGGTACCATTGCTGACATAAAGCACATATTCTTATGATGCAGGACCCACCACTGGGTTGCCCTAGTAATAGAATTCCATACCAAGAATCGACTTATGATGCAGGACCCACCACACGTAAAGAACATGGACGAAATATCTTAATTACATAGGATTTAGCACACAAAACTCAAATTTTGCTTGACAAAGAAGGTACCTTTGCTTTTGGAACAATTTTCACTTCAAAGTTTCTCTTCCACAAATTAAAGAACATGGACGAAATAAGTTAATTACACAGGATTCAGCACTCAAAACTCAAATTTTGCTTGACAAAGAAGGTACCTTTGCTTTTGGAACAATTTTCACTTCAAAGTTTCTCTTCCACAAATTAAGCATTTGGTCATGGACATTAGTTGACCGAATCTCATACCCCAACTGCATGAAATTTTTGACAGAAATAGTAACAAACAAGTGCATTGTTTAACAAAAAGGAAAGAAAAAATACATACAGACACAGATTGTTAAGAGAATATTACCAAAATTGTTGTTTTGGGTCCTGATAGTGCAAGCATTGTCTGAAAAAGAGGCTCCAAGAGATGCTCCGCATAAACCTTGTGCACAAAAAAAGCAGATTTTTTTGTTCAGATGAAAACACTATATCTTATTGGAAGCATACTATATAACAAAAACAGTGCCTGGTTGACAGATATTTAACATGTCCAGAGCAAATGCCAAAGAAAGTTGAAATCCAAATAGCATAGAAAACTCAAAATGCTTGTATGTCCATGTTTCCACAAGCAAGAGAAGCCCGCAAGCCTGACATATACCATTGTGTCTACTCTCTAACAGCTTACACTTTTGGAGTAATTGGTTGTCTAACAACCATAATATTAAATATATGGTCTTCTCGAATCTCATAGATCATTCTCCCTCTCCCCCTCATTCTGCCTCTAAACCATTTTTATCTCTCTCCTGTCTCTCCATCCTCACTCAACTTATGGGTGGCATACCAACCAAATCCCAAGTTAATTTTGTCTCTGAATCTGCATGGGGAGAATGAAAACTTAGAAGGCACTAATTTTATTTTCTCCTTTCACGATAAGCAGGCCACACATATAAAAACTATAAAACTTATTTTAATGTTAAAAATGACTTGGCCATGATTATATGTCTTGCCTGAGAATTGCATTATCTTCAGCAATTTTTCCCATGCACTGTAAGTCATGATCTATATCAAGAATAGTTACGACGACACATTTCACAAATAAAAAGCAAATCATGCACCACTGATAGCGAAAAACCATAAGCTTGTAAGGAAGCATATCCACAAGAAAATGAAAAGATACTGTAATGCCTTGTCCACTTACAGGAGATGAAATTTTTGATCTGTTTAATAGCATACAAGAATGTCTACATCACCTAAAAAAATGTTTTACTGTATTTTTCTATTCCCAATGCAAGACCCACAAGCCACATCACTTTTTGCATAATTAGATTTTGTATAACAAAACTTACGATGTCAGTGCCGATGATATAGTCGAATGGTGGACCAACAGCCTTTATATGATCTGCATTACCCCAGTTCAGTTCTGCAACCTGGATCGAACCAAAGGAGTCTACAAGGAATAGAGTTTTATGGTAGAAACAATCAAACTCCAGGATGACATTGCTACTCCCTGAAATATTCTATCCAATGGACAATTGCACTTCACACTTAATGTATAGTTAAAAGATCAAAGCAACAGTCAGAGATACATCTTCATATATCACAGAAGAGTAAAGAAAGAGAAACAAACCAGAAACTTAACAGCAGACCTGAACCAGGATTCATCTGCATAATCCTAGAAGTATTGCGCTCAACATTTTTTATAAGCAACGGCAAAACCTCAATTTGGTCTGTTGAAACCACATTACATCCAAGCAATGCCATGCCTGAAAAGGGCAGTCAAACACCATTTTCAACATAATATATTCCAGTAGACTAAAACCTATTCAAGAAACATCCACATTAAAAGTTAGACTAAAATAAAAGCAGCTCACCGAATCCTGCAACTCCACAACCTGCACCGAGTTCGATAACACGTTTTCCTTTCAGTTTAGATGGGCAAAACCTTCCTTTTCTACAATTTTTTTCCTATGCAACCCAATCAAATAAGTTCGTATTGCTGATTCAGAGACACACAATGCCAGCAATGCACAAACTTCAAATGCAACTATCAAAGTAAGCACAATAATGAAAAACTACTGTTATTCAACATCCCATCATCAGTTTCCCAAGATTTGGAAGTAGGTTTGCATTCTAGAGCAGTAAAATTTTTAATCTAAATTCAAATTCTAAGGTCCAAGGTTTTCTTGTACCTAGACTGTGACAAAGTACTTCCACTGAAAGTAAGTTAGAACTTAGAATATGTTCTTCCATCAAACTAACACCTTTATCTTACGTTAAGTAACTATGTATAGTTCTAAAGTCTTTTGCCCCCCCTCCCCCTACAACAAAAACACCAAAATCCTGGTAAACAAAGGAATAAGAGAAGATGAACAATATCCAGACGAAATACAAATAAAATGAGCACATTCAGCATACAAATTTTGACCATTTCCTTTTTTGGGAGATAAAACAAGAATATCATGGTATTAACCATTTCGGTCTTGGTATTGCATCGCATAATCTCATTCGGAATGACAAAATAATAACATTCTTTCTTTCAAATTGTGATGTAATGGGCTGCTGTTGGGATCACAAAATTACCAGAAATTTGACAAGCACCATCGATGCATCCCAAACTGTAGTCCCTAGATGTTTGGAGTTGGGATCCTAACACAATCACAATAAACTTGTCACTGTTAAAAGAAGGAATTGCTTGAAAAGAAAGAATCTTGATATAGCAAACAAAATATCATTTTATCTGCATCACATACTTCGGCCAAGTGAAGCTCTAAATTTAGTAGGCCTTAAGTGCTTAATATATCGCAGGAATAGAGGTTTGGTAAAATGTTTAGTACGTTAGTTTCATTCTCCTCAAGATCCAAGTTTGCAATTATATGAGAAAACAGACTTCTGTTTAATTTATAACAGCTGTCTTACGAACAACTTCGAATCCCATTATAAATGGCTTTCACCTTTTCTAAACATAAGAAATACAAAAAGTTCCATGTGCCCAAGCTATTGGATCCTCTCCAAACAGAATGTAAGCTCAGACCGAATATAATTTCTGAGGATGAGATTCATGGTAAACTGATAATAGAATCCAGTGGGAAAGAAACTGCAATTACCAATAACTTCCAGCAATGAACCAAAATATCTGGAAACAAATGTGCACACAATCTACCATAAGCCTGAATACCTGAGAAAATTGCAGATGATGGCCCAGAACTTCGAATATTATTGCTGATGTGTTCGGCGAATTTAACCTGGGATGCCAAAATTTGAATATCAACATCTTTCTTGGGATATAAGTGAATAATCTCAAACACTAATTCCTTGTTTAAACGACACACAGATTGAACATTTATACAAACACCAACCGATATAATGGAAATACTCCTAGAAGAAACTCGAAAATAGTGTACTGTCTTCTTTTCTCTAATCTATCTATCATCCTCCGATATTTCAGGACATTAGACTTACAATTACCAAAAAAGTTCGCAAATGAAAGTAAACAATACCTAATGAGTTGTCCATTAGTATATCTCAAAAGTCAAACCAGATAACATGAACCCAACAGTATAACCAATTGTAATTGCAAGGAAGTAAGCAAGAAGCCAAAGTGGTATAATCTATTCAAAGAAAGATTAATTGACTGAAAAACGCTATTGGTTATCATGGACTTCAATTATCCCCAAATAGTATCAGTAATAAATTTTCAATATCAATTTTCATCACATCGTGTCCAAGTTCAGCCCTGCAAGCAAAAATGCCTGCATAATTCATCTTTCACATATATGCCACTCTAAAAATTCAAATATCCTGCATCATAGGAGAAATGAGTAGATTTGCTCAAAGTTGGAAACCATTTCAAGCTTTCCCTTTTCCTTTTACCTACTTATTTTTAAGTTTTAGGGCGGATAGATGTACAGAAAAATTTTATTCACTTTCAGATCACATTCCTCTCATGTTTTATCTTTTTCCTCGGCTACATGAAGCATGTCCATTATAATAAGTGATTAACACGTAAGAAAATGAAAAGACATATTCCATGAAACAATCACTTGATCTCTTGTCCTATTCTTGTTGGCTTGAAATTGTATTTTTCTGGGACTTAATTCATTTCTTTGATATTGCCTAACGAAAACGGGAAGGAAGACAAGTATTAAATTTTTTTATTTTTTTTGAATTGCTAAAATTTTTGTGTTGTAACATAAGACCTTCAAGATTCAAACCCTGCAATCCAATTTTTAGATTTACATAAAGTTGAGTGGAAAATGCATTTCCTACAAGGTTAATAGAACATGCCCACCACAAATTAATTAAATCATAATAAGATGCCTCTGAGTTCCTATTTACAACATTGTAAGAATGATGTCGTTGATTTCCTTCAACTATAGCCATGTCAAAGTAGAAAAGAGAATATATTACAACAAAACGAAATTAAGTAGACTAAAAGGCAGAATACCTGTCGAGCTCCATAAAAGCCTATGCATTCAGTGCAACAATATTTCAGCATAAAGTTTTTCACTGTCAAACACTAGAACCGAGAAAATATTATACAACATAATACCTTGTGTACCGGACACTGGTCAAATGATTTCTAAAACAGAATAGGATACTATCATACCAAGTACATCCTTTTTTTTTTTTCCGGGTTTACTCTTTATGAATTACAACTCCAATGAAAAATAGTCAATTTTTCTTAAATACATGTACAATGCCATCAAGGAACTATATATAAACGGTGTATAGAATATAGACCTCTCACACCACTAAAGTGGTGCAAAGCTAGAACTTGCACTGTTGTTCAAACTGATGATAAGTACACAAAAACCCCAAAAGTAAAATAAAACCAGGAGCCCAGAGCTAAGTTCTCCATTGTCTAATCTTGCGTTGGGATTCTGAGAAAACGCTAGTTAAAATAGAATGAAAAACAAATTCTGATTTCTAAGATACTCAAAGGCTCCACTAAAACGAATCACTAAGCAAGTACTTGTTTCTGTTGAAATGGGTTTTGGATATACGAGTGGAAAATCAACAAAAAGTAAAGAAAGATTCGACTCTTTTTTTTTCCCTTTTCTTCCACCGTGTTGAAAGCAATGAAACCATCCACTAAACTGAACCTCTAAGCAAGTAGTTTTTTTCTTTTTCTCTTCTATTTCCACCGTTTTCACAGCAGTGAAACGGTGGGGATTCTTTGAAAACGCCAGTCATAGAATGAAAAATCAAATTCCGATTTCTGAGAAACTCAAAGGCTCCACTAAAAAACGAACCTCTAAAGCAAGTACTTGTTTCAGTTGAATTGGGTTTTGGATCATCGATTAGAAAATCAATACAACAATTAAAAAGATTCAACTTTTTTTATATTATTTTCCTTCCACCGTTTTCACAGCATTGAATCAGAGGGTGAGAAATGTGGTGGTTCCCAAATCAGAAATTGAAACAGCCAAACAGTACTCAGAATCAAATCATCAATAGTAAAAGAAAAATCGACTAAACCTCTAGAAAGATTTGAAACGAATAGCTAGGATGAGAAACTAACCTGAACTCCACCAGGTTGATTGCCAAACTGAGCAGTGTTTATGGAAGAAGTAGTCCTTAACGCATTGCTTTTATATAAAAAGCCCATGGCCTTATAGGAGTGGTGTAATTGGGCCGTCAACCGAGCCCACTACAGAAAATTTCTGTACTCGATTGGACTAGGCAAAAATGCCTTAGACAGCGATCGGGTCGAGTTTTAGAATTTTTGGAATTTAACTCGGAATTTAATAAAAGTTTGGGATAATTACATCCAGGCCTCCTAAAATTTACCACTTAATCATCTGGACCCCTAATATTTGAAATATTACTCACAAACTGCATGAGGTTTGTACTAAGTGTTACAATTTTTGGAATTTAACTCTGAATTTAATAAAAGTTTGGGATAATAGTGGTGATGACAATGGTAGTGGCGGTGGCGATGACATAATGGTGGTAAGGGTATATTTGTCAATTTTGAGAAATTTATAAAATTCTTACTGACTAATATTTTTAGCATTAGGTGATAATTCTATGACTTACTATTTAAAATTTTAGTCCATTTTTAAGAAGTGCTTAAAATATTAAGTAGTATGAGTTTTAGTTATCATAGGAGTTTAATTTATTAAGTGTTTAACCGGGAGGCTCCAGCCAATTTAAGGCCTAAAACAGAAACATTAAATATATGTCTTTTTATCTTTAGTATTATTTTTTTAATAAAATTAATTTATTTTTAATTTTTTTATGTGAAAATGAAACAAAAAAAAGTGTTAATGTTGTCGAGAAAGATATTTTAACTTTTATTTTTGTTTTTTTATCACAAAGAGGGAGAGTGAGTGTTTAATTTTAACTTTTATTTTTTATTGGAGAGAGAGAGAGAGAGAGAGTGTGTGTGTGTGTGTGTATGGGAGTAAATATGAGTTGACTTTTGATTATTTTTTTAATTTCTAAGTTTTTAATGTTATGGATTGGATTATAGGGCCAAATTATTGAAATAAAAATTTTGGTTAAATTTAATTTTTTGGGACTTTTTTTTGTTGGGCTTAAAATTTAATGAATTTAATATTTTTTTGTGGGTTAGTGATGTACCTAAAATTATGGGACCTTCTAAAAATTTAGAGCCTAAAGCCCAAACTTTTTTTCCATACTGTTGAGCCGGCCCTAATGCTTAGAATATTCAGTATTAAGACTTAAGTGGTATTATCAAACCATCCCTAATGAAACCTCTATTTGGTAATGTTTTTAAAATTTGAAAGTTGCGTTTGTTTCATATTTTTGCCTTTTTTATTAATATTTTTTGTTTAGATTTGCTACATACTTCCAATCTAGCTCTTAATTGCATCTATAATATTACACCTATGAAAATAGACTATTTATATCCAATGTAGCTCTTAATTGCATCTATTTATATCAATAAACTAACAAATTTTAAATAGATAAAATTTAGGCCAAGAAAAAGGCCCTAAGAGTCTATGACTGTAAAAATGATTAAAACATGTATATAAACCAATCTCAACTCATAGTATCAAACAAATTATTGTATTATGAGAGTGATATAGTGGGCACAATCCATATATGTGAGTAATGCTTAAAACATATGCATTTATAGACATGCATAAAAAAAAAAAGGGAAAACTTTAGCCACACTCCTTGCAAAATTCCTTATCTTCAAACACACCCCTTGTATTTTCTAAAATTTTACTGACACCCTCTGTAAGAGTTTGTCAGTTGACGGAGGTAATAAAACATGTTATTCTACTATATAGTCTATATTAACCCTGACAATCTCACATATTACCAATTACACATATAAGTGTATATCTCACATATTATCCAATTTATATATTTTAATAAATGTATAATTATATATTATATACTAACATATATATATCAAACAAATTAGGAGAGAGAAAACTTGAGAAGTATTTCTTCCACATTTTTAATTTTTTAGAGTTTTGATTTTTTTTAATTATAATACTAAGTCTTCTTTCAATCTTATGCTTTCATGTGTCTTTTGTAATCACCTCTCAACTCCTTACTAATTACTCACTATTTTTTAAAATTTATTCGTATAAATTTTTTTTTATTAAAGAATTTAGTATTATTTTTATCTAAAGTACAAAAAAAAAATCTGTGCAAAGCAGGATGCTAGTACAAAATATATTCATGTATAATTTATGTATAGTCTTATTCTTTAGCGTAGTCAATCATTTTTATCACTTAGCTTAGTACAATCCTTCTACACAGTCTATCTTCATTGCATAAACCTACTTCCATCAACTAAAACTTTAACAATTTCATAAATCTGAAAATATTATAAACAAAAAATTAAAAATTCATCTGAAAAGCAGGTATTTCTCATCTAAATACGAGATGAATACTAGTGCATTAAGCCAAAAAATATATATATGAAAAACTCTGTAAAATTATGCACCATATGACCCATCAACACATAAAGCCAATACCCATAACCCATAGTTCTTTTACCTGGCGGAGGCTTATACGCACCAACCTTATAGGCTTTGTCGAATTCAAGTTTCATTCCATTTGATTCGAGTTCATTTAGGTTCTGGGCATTTTAGTATATTTACAAAGGGAAGGAAAATTTTGACATTTTAAAAGAATATCAAGTCAAATTTTTTACTTTTCCTCTTGTCAGAAACAGCTGTTAACGGAAGAGAGTGTAAGTAATTTTATAGTATAATCTAGAAGGGGGTGTAGTGTAATTTTAGAAAATATAGGGGATGTCATTGAAGTACAGGAGGAGTGGACCAAAAAAATTTAAAAATTTTGATGGTTAGCCCCTTGTAGCTCCGCCCTTGTGCTTATTTCACCCCATTTCACTACAACAATTTTTTTTTTTGACGAGTTCAAGTATTATCATAAAAAAACATTATTTGTCGCCATAAATATTTTTGTTGTTAGCGTTGTGGCGCTATTGCCTCGCATAATAAATGAAGCCCCAAAATTTTTTTATGACAGCAATAGCTAGTCTCAAATATTATTTGCAGTAGCAAATAGATCTTTTATAACAATATTAGCGTCATCGAAAAAAAAAATTTCTTTCAAAACACTTTTTGTGATGGTGAACACAATCGTTACAAAAAACTTGTCTCAAAATACTTTAATTTTTGTAGTGTTTAATTTAACAATTATCAATAACCTCCACAGTTGAATAGCAAAATCTATTTTTTCTTTTGTTTTTGTTTTGATCAAATAGCAAGATGTATTGAATTGGGTAATTTAAAATGCTTGTTAGTCAACAACTTCAAACACTCCGATCAACCAGAAGCATTTGTACAGGATAGGTACTTCATCAAATAGGTACAGCGAGATGCGCCCATAATGTTGGTGTTAAACCATCTCCAAAGAAAACTCAAATTCTTACTCAATTTTGATATTAGCTTTAGTTTGGTGTTAGTTTAGTTTATAATTTGTATCTTATTCATTTTGTATTAGATATTTGGGTTATTATATTGCAATAGTTGATAAATAGTGGTAATAGCGATATTAACGTGATGTGATAAGATTATTGATTTAAGATAGTGTTTATTTACATAAAGGTTTGAGTATGAGTTGTACACATAGGTTGGTATTGTCAATGAGATCATGTTTTTAAGGAGAACTCTATTAAAAAAATTTTAAAGAAAAAAGTTGGTTTATATTAACTACTGAGATTTTATGTGTTACACAAATTATTTTGATTTGATATTCATGTATATAGTCATAACTATATGTAATATATAATTGGTAGTAGTATTGTTGAACATGTGGTTTTATGTGTTAAACCAATTATTTTGATTTGTTATAAAAAAAATTTATATTTCTCAGTTTCTTCAATGATCTCTCTTTTATTTGATATGCTTTTTAATTAACAACAATTTTTTTTTGTTACTCCGTACCTTCAGGCACGAGCAATTATTAGTAGGCAAACAAGATACATCTCAACACAAATAATTAAC